TTTCCCGGTTCGTGTCGACCCAGTCCCCGCCGCAGAGAAGGCAACCTACAGTGCGGAAGAGGTCATGGAGCTGCAGGAGAAAATCAAACGAATTAAGACGCTGGTCTGAATAATAGCCACTTTCCCTTTTTCAAAAGCTTATGGAACTCATAGGTATAGGTCCTTCAATTTCAAAGTGTTCTTTCTGTCGCCTCAACAAACTTGAGGATGAGATTGGCAGTTCATGGTTCTCCAAGACCTTCAGTGGCTTCACCAACATTGCCCGCAGTGGACATTACTGCAGTGGACACCTTGCCTTCTGACTTGTCACCTGTGGCAAAGGCATGGAAAGGTTTTCCGACCGGCCCTTCAACAGTTGAGGTGGTGGACTTGGAGTCACCAGAGAGGATGCCTTTGAAAAGGCTGGAGCAGCATGTGGAGGCGGTGGGTTCTACTGAGGTCATGCCCTCGGAAAAGAATCAGCCGCAAGCTGCTGAGTCTGCAATGGCTGGGGCTGCAGGAGGCCCTGACCAGGCTTCTGCTCAGGATGGCCCCACGCATGAGAAGTCTGATGATGATGCGGTTGTGGCAAAGGGTGGAGGGACCCCAGAGGCATCAGCTCCTGAAGATCTTTTCCATGCCACTACTGTGGTCTTGAGAAAGGAGCAAATGGAGCAGGGAGTCTCGCTAGAAGAAGAAGAAGAGAAGGATGAAGAAGATGGCAAGAAGACAAAGAAAAACAAGCGCAAGAGAGGCCGACCTGCCGGGAAAGGGAGGGCAAAGGCCAAGGCAAAGGCCAAGGCAAAGGCCAAAGCAAAGGCCAAAGCAAAGGCCAAGGCAAAGGCCGAGGCCCGAGCTTCTGGCAGAGCGAAGGCCAAGGCCAAAGCTTCTCCCAAAGGAAAGGCTGGGAAGCGCAAGGGTCAGAAGTCAAAGGATGGTGTTGAGGAGGATGTGGCAACACGCAATGGGGCAATGCCTGAAGAAAAGACCAAGAAAAGGAGGAAGGTTGCAAGCCAGTCTGATGCAAACACATCTGATGCGAAGCCAGTAGCTGAGGTGCCCAAGGTGGCTGAAGAGCCCCATGAGGCCCACCCTCTGCCTGGCAAAGCTGCCGAGACTAAGGCAAAGGGCCGGAGCAAAGCCAAAAAGGAGGAGGTGGCAGAGAAAAAAGGCTCCACAGCAGAGAAGAAGTCTTTCGCCAGGCGATACCGCCCTCACAACGACCAGGTTGCCGGGGCCAAGTGGGATGGAGTGAAGGCGGTGTTCAACAAGCATGTCCGTCAGCATGTTACGAAGCAAGCGTCTGCGATGGAGGCTTGCGTGCTCACAATTCACAAGTTCTTTCTGGAGTTTTGTTTCACACTTGACCTAGCTATGTTTGCATCTATGTTTGAATCTCCCCTTGAACCCTTTGAGGTGCACTTTTGGAACTACTGCGTGCAGGAGCTGAAGAGTCATGGGGCGCCAGTTGACAAATTTGATTTCTTCTTCGAGGGCAAGGTGGCATCCTTCTTGGAGGCAAAAGGGCTAAGCACCTCGTATTCCAACAGCAGTTTACCTTTATACTTATACTTCTTCTTTTGGTCGTCGAGTCAAAACCGATACATTATCTATTTTCTACCGGGTTTTGCAACACCAGGCACTCAGTGAGAAGGAACAGCTGAGTGCAACGTTTGTTTCAATCAGTGAAGGCTGAGCTTGCTTAGGCACGTTGGCCCGCAAGCATGTTGTGGGCTTTAAACTAGCTGCTTCAAACATGTTAGTGATAGTATCTTCCACCTGTAGTTCCTCATCTCTTGTTGCCTGCCAGCGTGAGTGCAAGCACAACCTCTAGCAAAGGCTATCTTCATAGAACCTGGCAATGGATCTTGGGGTTTTGCCGGGCAGCGAAGGTGAAAAGGTCCCCAGCTAGCCTGACTTTGCCCTAGCACTCTAACATCCGCTGGTCTTTTTCACATTTGTCACATCTCCCTGCCCTCCAGGTACCTGATGGGCAAAAAGCTCCGGTCAGGCTTGGGCCCGTACGTTCGGCATGGCATCGTCCAAGAGGAATACAAAACGAGCCGACCTGGCAAGTTTAAAGAACGGGTGACTTTCAGTGAAGTAACATGGCTTCAGACTAGTCTTCAGACTCAAGCCCATGCATAGAATCAGTTTGCCTTGACAGCATTTCTGGGCTGGGAGTAGATTGCGGTAGAAGTGGGCCGTCCATGATGGATGGGCTTGAGGGGCCCCTGTTGCCACCAAAGCTGGAAACCATTCTCCGGCGGCTGATTTGGTTGGAGGCACCGAAGGCCCCCCGGCTTCAGCCAGACACACTCTACTTGATTCTACTTGACTGTTTTAAGGGAGGGTAGATTTGATGCGCGAAAGATTTGAGTGTGAGGTATTCATCGTCACCATTCTGTGCATTGGATGCCTCTCCATGGTTGACATGACAAAGAACGAGTACATGTGCCTAGAGTTTTATGCTGGCAGGGCACGTCTTGCTAAGCTCACAAAGGCCCTAGGTTATCCGAGTGCTGCCATGGACTGGCTGTATGACACAGAAGGTGACAACCTCACAAGAAACAATGCCATGGACATGAACACTAGTGGAGGCTTTGTGTTCTTTAGCTTCATTAATGGGATTAGTTTGGCTCGCATGTCGGCCCCGGCCTTCATCTTCTGATCTTGCCGCGTTTGCGCTCGCTCCATTGCCTGGCCAGCCGACCGAGGTTAGCCTGCGTATTGGTTCTCCAAGCTAGGTGGGACGAGTTCATAGCCTTGTTTGGTGTTTGCTGCTCCACCTACGTTGGAATTTCGAGGGGCTCTACACACCGAAGCATGTTCTTACCATTGGGCTGCCCTATCTCATTAGCAGTTTATCGAGCTAACAAAGGAACATGCAGGTGCAGGGTGTCGAAACCTTGTTTTGCTCGAGGGTGATCCTGTGGGTATTCTTCCCGGAGTTGTCCCACAGTTGTCCCACAGGTCTGTTTTGATCCTGCTGCTAGTTGTGGCAGCTGGAGGAGTTCCAATATTGGAGAACCCTGGCAGCTCGCTTCTTGGGGCACAACCTCGCCTCCAACACCTAGCCAAGATGCTGGCAGCAAAGGGGATCAGAGTCTTGCTGTGAAGTATGAAATAGTTCCAACCCGCTGTGGGATGCTTTGGGGGGTGGGGGAATGATTTCTGGCCTGCAAACACCATGCCCAAGCCGCCCACAAAACGCACCCGAAACGGCCTGTTTGTTCACCATTCTTGTTCTATCCGAAAGATGGCCCCCACACGGCTGAATGAGTCCTTTATGTTTTAATTTGGGTATTTCGATTTACTTCTGAGTCCAGCTAAGACCTCTACAAGCAAGGGCTGTGGATGAAATTGTATGGGCATCTCTGCCTGAAGCGGACACTACTTTGGAGTATCTCACCGAGTATTGCTTTCCTTGATCTTGGACCCATCCACATGAAGGTTCACAAGTCCCTGGTCCAGACTGCTACCAAGTATCGAGATAAGCAAGGACGCCAAAGATATAAAGGCACTTCAGAATTACGAGCTACTCAGTCACTAGGTTCTTGATTCAACATTGTGTTTCTTTGCAGGAATGATACATGCATGGTATAGTTTGTGGCAAGATTACCACCCAAGCCACGGTCCGGGTTAGCAAGACTGATCAAGGCTATATCCTTGCCGATTTGTTGGGACCCTGTTGGAACGTCGAGAAGAGTTGCTGAGTGGCAAGCCAGTCGTGCAGGACCGATAGTTTTCTTTACCTTCTGAATCCTTCTAACTTATGGGCGCAGGGGTTGGGACATGGCTAAAGCTAAGAGGGTACACCCCGGATGCCTTTGAGTCAAAGGAGTTCATTGGAGATATCATCCAGCACTTGTTGGAACTACCAACCGGTGATCCCTGGGATGATGCAGAGCTATGGACTATCTTCCGGTACGTACGCGGATCTAAACGCCTCCAGCTACCAGCTCAGTACAGGCCTGTTCTCTTTGCTACGGCTGAGTGATGATGTGTTCACTCTTGCCGTGGCTTTTTAGCTTTTAGTGATCAAATTCATGAACAATTAGGACATGGTGCCCCACTGCAACTGCCTGTGTGGGGGTTCACTTGCTAGTGTCATCGAAGTGAAACTTTGCAGGTCGAAAACAATCTGTGTCATGGTTTGGGATGAAGTGTATCAGTGTTTCTTCATTTTTTCAGAAAAAAACTCGGGCGGAAACCCACACGAATCGGGCGGAAAACCACACGAATCGGGCGGAAACACACGAAACGCCAATTCTCAGGTTTTAGAGATCAATTTTCATACAATCGTGACATGCAACTGTCAATGTTTTAGACGACTCATCTTTGTGGAAGTGTGTAGCTGAATAATCTCAGTCATGTTTGCTATAGGTCTTGGCTGGAAGTTGAATAGGTAGGTCGATAGAGATGAGCTTTGTTAGCAAAGCCTGGTCAACAGACACCCTTGACCGGGGCTTGGGCCTCGTGCTCGCGGACCCGCTGTCGATGGAAACAGATCCTGACCCAGATGCGCTCCGTGCAGAACTGCGGCGACTTGAGGAAGCTTCTTTGGGGAAGGGGTGGTTGTTTTGATGGGGGATGATGCATAGATTTCCCCAATCCATTTCACTATAACCAAACACTTGTAGAGAGCTTTTCCCTTATCTAAGGACTTAGAAGCAATGATTCTGCTACGTGGAAAGAGCCGCATTCATAGTGATTCTTGTGATTATATCGACGACGATGATCTGCAGATCCTGTTTGTTCGCCAGGTTGGGAATCTTTGGGGGGTTTGGTGGCACTCCAAAACACAGGGATAGAACTAGAACTGATACTGTGCGAGTTTGTCATTGTTCAGTTCATGGCCTGTGAAAAAAGACACACAAGTCGATGAACCCTAAAGGACGGTTTTTTGGGGCAAGCTTCATTCCCACCAGAAGCCTTTCCAAAACGACAATAAAGGTCGCCCCAAAAGCTACCTTAAATTCTGGCATCTCTTTGGTACACGTTGGCTTCAAGAAAATGTTATGTTTCTTTGGGAACCCTGTTTGGAGGCCCAGCATTCGATCAAAGATTCCCTCCGCATAAAACCAGAACCTAGCGAAGATGAGCTCTTTGGTTCCCCCCAGCCTGATGCATCGGCAAGCGGTGCGCCAACAGATTCTCCTGCCAAGACGGACCCACCTCCCGATCCCTATTCCAATGCGGCAGATGCAGAGACCCAGCCAGGTTATGTCCCAGAACCTTCAATCACCGAGACTGCATCCGAACTGGTGCAACCGGATCCTACCCAAACAGCTGCAGGTGTTTCAGCTGAGGGGAGGCCTCCGCTGCCCCCACAGGATCCTATCCAACCAGCTGCAATCCAGGTGGAGGGGACTGTTGCGAAAGCAGAGCTGAACCCTTCTGAACAGCCCCATGAATCTGAGAAAACTTCCCCTGGTCGAGATCAGCACTATGAACCTCCCACCCCACAATACCGCTGTCTCCCCGGAGCAGTGATGCTGCAGCCTGTCATCCCCCAACATGGAGATGGGAACATGAAAAGGCATGTTGAAGAGTCACTGTTCTGCGTTGCTTCCCAGCCGCCAGAAATCTTGTCAGATTCTGCGGTTTACAACCGTTTGTGGCGGATTTTCAAGAGAAGGCAGGATGGATCTAAGATCCTTGATGAACGGTGGAGTGAAGCCTGGGCAGATGTTCATGGTGGAGGTAGGGACGAAGTGAAGGGCTTGTTCGAAAAGGTTGGATACAATGTGGAGCGGGTTCCGACCAACAAGCAAACACTGTGTATAATTATGTTTTTGCCAAAGACCTATTTCTTGTGTCCCTTTGTTCAAACCAGCTTCCCTTTAGGAGAAATTCATCAAGCGGTGCACGGCTATTTCGCAAAAGATCTTGGAGGAAACTAGCGAGGTAGAAGGAGAGTGGCTGACTGTGGCTGACATGCAAAAGCTAGGCTTCAGTGAGCCACCTGATTCCCATTCATCCATTTGTTTGACCTATTTTGGTCTATTTACTAACCCCATCCAAAGAAAAATGGTTTGGAGATCCCATGTTGAAAAACACGGGAAGGAATAGAGCAGTTCAATCTTACTGGTCACTCCCCGGAACGTTCTTTGTTTGGGGTATAAGGTTTGTATCATACATGTTTTTTGTTACAGTATATATATGTACAGTGTAGGCGGGATCGCATGGCACAAGGTGCAAGATCAAAGGAGTGATTCGCTACTGTGAAGCCCGGAAAGGTTTGTGCAGGCAGGGCATTCCACTTTCAGTACAACACAAACTTTTCAAGTGCATTGCAGGTAACTTCATTCTGGTCACCTCTCAACCCTTTTTTGGCGGAATGTGGGATGTTCCATGCTGAGTTGCCGCTGCAGTTTTCCTCTTATGTTGCTCCAGGATGAGCAAATATGGGGAAGGTATGATGTATTGGACGGAAATCCGGTGCAAAGGCTCTCTCAAGTCGCTTGGAGACATAAAAACACCCATTGCTACCCCTGTTTGCTTCTAGTTTGTCAAGATATATATATATATATTATATTGTTTAACTAAGGAAGACTAAGCGACGTCTGTCGCAAGAAGCAGTTGAGTGGGATGAGGAAAACAGCAACCCTGACCAGTTAGAGGACACTTCACATGCTGAATGGAGCATGCTTGACTCGGCACAAGGCGCTAATGCTTTTTGTGCCATCAGCATGCATTATGCCCTGGCCCCTTCTGGTCTGCACCCATTCTCCGGTCTGCGCCCGTTCTCCTGACAGGCTTGAGTCTCGACGACGCCAATGAGCAGGAGAAGGAGCCTGTCCAGACGCAGTCTGAGTCTGCGGATGTTCAAAAGGAGATGAAAAAGCATTGGTTTCCCACTCCCATGGTAGAAGGGGACAGGGCACCTTCTAGTTTGATTCCTGAAGCGACCAAATACCTCCAGAAAATGGTAACCAAAGTGGATGCTTTACATGAAGACTTCAAGAAAGCTGATGGCTTGAGCGCTTTGCAACTGAAGAAGCTAGGCAGTATTGTACGTTGGAAAGGGAACATGCTAATGCATGGTTCTGCTTACTTCTTTTGATGTTGCTGCAAAGCATGGGAGTGGTATCTCAGGATGAAGACCAAATTGGAGTTTGTGTGCGGTGAGTTGTCGAACATCGACGACCAGCTAATCACCCATCATGGCGATGGTGTTCTGGATGGCTTTACGCATCAGCCCCTTGGCCTTTTAGGGCTCTCTGGATGATAGAACATAGTAGGCTTGCCAAGGCTGGCCCCATCAGCTGACTGACCAAATCATTTGCAGGCCACACTTAACGACATGCCCGCAATAAAAAGAATAGAATCAGGTACCCAGAAAGACCTTTGAATCCCAACGGAGAAACAGCTCTGTTGGGATTCGTCTCCACCCAAAGTGGAAATCAATGTGTGGTATTGAGAGTCCTCTCGGCCTCTCAAGGTTGATCCCCTTACTCAGTCTTCTCAGCCTCGTTTGTTGGGAAAACGTCAAGAAACAACCCCAACCGAACAACTTTTGGTTGGAGATGATTGGGGCACTCAAGAGCTAGGTTTCTTGGTAGCCTTGGTCCACTATGTCTGAATTACTTTTTACCAAGATGATTAATGAGTAGTGAAACCCACTGGCCAAAACAAGCCCAGGCTCCAACAAAAGATTCGGAAGGAGCTCGAGCTTGCCCGCGCAAAGTTTGACACTCATTTCCCCTGCTCGTGAAATGCATCATTGCCTGATGCAGTGGTCTTTGTGAGTAGCTTCATTCCCAAGGATGGGAGAGGCCATGTCGGTTTACTACTTCGCGAAGTCTCGAGCTCAAACCCAGGAAGACCTTTTTTTGACCCACCGCTCAACACATCGCTTGCCCAGGTCGAGAGTGCCTGGCCAGAAGCCCAAGTCCACTAGATCGACGCCTCCAAGCGGTAAGGCTAAGGCCAAAGGTCGAGCCAAGGCCAAATCTTAGGTTGCTAAGACCTGAGCTCAGAGCTTCTTTTCATGAACAAAGCTAGCCAGTCCCCCTTGGTTCTGACCACTTTCCTAAAGCAAAATTTTGAGCTGGAAGTGCGCAGTCATTTGCTTCTGCGATAGGGGGCAGGCTGGGCAGGTCAAATTAATGTAAATTAACAACGTCAGAATGAAAATTCATTCGGTGCGGGTTGCAGGCCGGTTTTTCAACCATGCCTCTCATGACAACCCTTTGCACACAAAAGAGTGGTACCGTTGTGGGGAAAACAGTTTCTGTTGAATGCTTCGACAGCTCTTGCTTGGACCCTGGTTTACACTGCATTGCTCTGGCAATTTTCTGCCAGGTTCAACAAAAGATGCCCTTTCGACGCTCCCTGACAGTTTCTTGGGACACCTTGCGGATACCATGGGTGATGGAGCTGGGAGCTCAATTGGACAGTCTGTCTTTACAAAAAAGTGAATAGAGTTGCCCTGTTGTTCACACACCTTGCCTCAGGCCAGCGCGGTGAGTGCCAAGCGCAGCATAGTTGCGCTGACATCCGCCAAGCCAACCTCAGAAGTGAGAAACGCTGAGAGGGATATGAAGAAGGTCTTTCAAGACCTTGGCTTTGACCTTCCTATCCCCATCAACCCTGTGCAGCATGTCACTGATGAGCCAAAACCAATCACTTCTTACCATATAAGGCCATCTTCATGGGTTCAATTTTGGATGGACACTGAACCAGGGGTGCTTGGGGGATCGGAAAACTTTGAGGCCTTCTGGATCCTTGGTTTTGCTAAGTAATTAATTAGTGCCAAAGGCTTTTGTGCCCTTTGCTTTACTGTTTCCCTTCAGTCTTGTCCAAACGTGCTCTTTGGTTAGAAAGTTCACTGACGCTGTGCATGAGGAAGGCATACAAACAAAGCCATCCAGGCCACGAAGTGTTCGCCAAACATGGGCACCACCTCTCGCAGGTGGTCCCCTTGATGTTTCATGGTGACGAAGGTCGAGCTGTCAAGAAGACAAACTATTTCCTTACATCGGTGGAATCTCCGATTGGTGCTGTTGAAGACCCCTCGCTTCGATGTACCTGCAAACATGACTTGAGATCCCGATTGGGCATTCCCAACTACGGAGAAGATGCTGGTAACCTTTCACCTGCGGCACTGCACCGAGCCCGACAACAAATCACAAATTTTAAGGGACACTCGTATTTATCACGCTTTCTCCTATTCGGAATCGGAGGATGGGTTTACAAGAAGCGTCAGTACATCATAGATGAGCTACTGTCTATCATTGCAAGTGACATGGTTGATTTGTTCAACAAGGGTGTCAGACTTTCATCTGGCGATGTTGTCTTTGGTGCCCTGGTAGCCACCAAGGGTGATCTTGATTTTCAGAAACGGCTGATGAATTTGGAGAGATGCTACAGCCGCCTTGGAACTGTGAACCCTGCCGGCATATGCCACCTTTGCCTTGCTGGCAATGGATCGTGGCCCTTCGAGGATTTTAAAGAGGAACCGGCCTGGAAAGAAACACTCTTCCAGGTTCGGCCTTGGCCGGAAGACAACCCGCCTTCGATGTCCTTGGTCCCGTATGACCACAGAAAACCAGAGGCAGTGATCCATCCAGACCTCTTCCACACTGTAAAGGTTGGAATCGGAAGAGCCCTCTGGTTGCATTCAAACAGTCTTTTCTATTCATACTGTGTCCTCCTGAATCATTGTAAATTGACTGTTTGTTGCGTCCTCAAACCAACTCAAGGACGTCGTAGGCGGTGTCTTGGTCACTCTGCTTCGACTAGGCTTCTATGACCACGAGGGTAGCACCCGCAACATAGTGGACAGACTAGAGCGTGGCCATTCACGATTTGCGTTGTGGTGTGCCACCACTGGGCACAGCCCTGGCTTACGGAGCTTTACCAAGTCGTACTTCAACCTCAAAAACATGATGTCAGCACCGTGGTCAAACAGCAAAGGTAGCGACACGACTCTGTTGTTGAAATGGCTTGTCTTCGAAGTGAAGCTCCAGTCTGTATATCCAACAGTTGCAGGGCATCAAGTTCTCTTGGACAACATGCTTCAAGTCATGGAAGCAACGCTCAACCTTGGGATTGTACACAAACACGGTTTGTGGTTGGACCGTGAATGCGCTCGCCGCTTTGTGGTTGAGGGTATGACACTGTTGCGGGGCTACGCAGTCCTAGGCCGCAAAGCTATGTTGCTTGGTTTCCGTGCTTTCATCCAGAAGCCCAAGGCACATTCACTCCATCATATTTGTGCTGCTGTGAAGACCAGTCTGGAACAGGGAGCATCTGTCATTCTTTCACCCCAGGCAACATCATGTGAGGTTAACGAGGATTTTGTAGGGCGTATTTCACGTCTATCGCGCAGAGTGGGGTTCAGGTTGATGGACCTAAGGGTCTGTGAGCGTTACTTTCTCAAGATCTCCTGCTTGCTCCGGACCAGGAAGCAAAAGCGGAGGGCTAAAGGTTGAGTAGTCGTGATCAAATCCCCAAGAATTATACAGTACAGTAACAACATCAAACAACCATGTGCAGGGGCCCTTGGCCTTCCCAGCTTTCTTGAGGGCCCGGCTGGAGCGTCCATGGCGAAGCCATTGCGAAGATCAGCGGTGACCAGTGGTGTGTTGAAAGAGTTGGGTTTGGGAGGGTTGGGGCTGCTGTTCTTGGTGTAGGCTTTGAGTTTGTCAAGGTGTTACCCTCAAGATCCCTCAAGCCTTGGTAGTTTTTACTTCATGGTTCCAGCCATGCATGGTTCTCTAAGGATTTCTTCTAAAAAACTACTCGGGCGGAAAAAATGGCCTCGGTCTGAAAACACAGGTTCGGTCAACTTTTCAGACTGAATCAGCTCGGGCTGAAATTACAGCCTGCAGGAGTTCCTAGGTATATATATATATATGATATACCCTATAGTACCCTATATATACATATGTAGGTGGTTCGTGGTCCTGCAGTCCTGCTATTCTATTCTTTTCGCCACTTCTCATTTGTACCAAATCCCGTCAATCTGCTCTTCACTTTACTGCCTGCAAGCCAACCGTACTCTCGCCCCAAAGCAGGAATGAATTTATGAGGTCCACTGCAGTCTGCTGGTCTTCGCAATGCCGGTCTTCACCGAACTCCTTGCGCTCGTTGATCTCCCCCGCCGACGCAAGGCGGCCCGGCGGCATCGCCGACGGGACGGAGCCGCCGCCCCCGCACCGGCAGGTTGGTCGGTCCTTCTTCTCCGACTCGAAGAGCCACTTGGTGATATACTTGGGACCTCAGTTATGACTCCATGCTGCGCGGAGGTCCCAGGGACAACGAAGCTGCGGAAGCCGCGTGGTGCAACGGAAACCACGCGGTAACCACGCGGTGGTTTCAAAGGACAGTGTGGTTGCAAACGTGACCTGCACTGGTGGGCTGATGACATCAAATGACTACAATACTGTAGCGGTCTTTGCTGAGAATTTGTGAAGCAGCATAACGCAGTTTACTCGTGAAGGGTCTCCTCACTTTTAATCCAACTTGCATATACAGTATTTGTATACGATCCGCCTTGTTGTCGACGTCACTCAAAATGGTGTTACTGGCAAACTGCGTATTGTGAGTATTGTGAGTATTGGCAGTGGTTGTAATGTGCGCGAAGAGCAGTGGTTTCTCGCAACTAGAGGCCCGGACACTCTGTCATCACGTAGAGGACGTACCTCCCCGTGCAGTTGCAGTCGGGAGTTCAAAGCGAAGACTTGTGCATCCGAGACGGTCCAGATGTTGGGCAGAAAACACACCAGGCCACTAGCAGCTTCGAAGGGCCTGGATGGGTGCTCACCAAAACCATCCCACCAAACCATCCTTTTGCCACAGTCGGACTGGGAAGAAAAGCAGCTCAAACCATGTGGGCCTGGATGTTGCTCAAAGATTTCTTGGAGCTAAAACCATCCTGAGATATCCTGATGCCAATAGATGGAGGGACATATCCTGACTATCCTGACTATCCTGATATCCTCCTGTTTACATGGAGGGGCAACATGTATGGGGCAAGACTTTCGAACCTTCCCTATGAAGTCCCGAAAGAAATTGTCCCGCTGCCTTCAGATTCAGGTTTGTTCCTCACAACTTTTGGCAATCCCTGGACAGCCCGATCATAATGAAGAATACCGCTGGCAAACCAGGACCCTCTAACAAGTTACTTGCTGCAAGGTTAATATGTTATCCAAAAGCCATCTCCCAGACTAAACCCACGGAGGGGACTTCCGCACTCATGAAATGAGGGACTTCACAGGAATTTGTGATTGGCTGCAGTTTCAAGCGAGTCGTTTCCGTGAGGTGCCCGGTAGACCACAGCAAACGCAAATAACCTTCAACTTCACCAAACCGAAGAGGCCAAAAGGATCTTCAAGCAGAACGCCCACCCACCTGCCACACACCCCAGCACCTACTCCATCTATGCTGTTGGAAAGCTATATACATGAGAGTTTCACATGTGCATCACCCCAAGGCAAAAGGTGTCTTGCAGGAGATATGTCAGATCTTGGCAACAAACAAAAACCTCATCCCTCATCCTCCGAAAACGCCTCAAGACTTTCCTTCGCACTTTCTTCACTTCCTTCACCTCCTCAGCCGCCGTAGATGAGGTCGGAAGGGACGGAGAAACGGCACGTATTTTTCGGAGAGAGGACGGTTTCGGTCACCGAGGAAGCGGAAGCCCCAGAGCTTCAGGATCTGGAGGAATTCAAGGATGGTCCGCAATAGCGCAAGCCCAAGCACTTCCCATGTTGCCAACCCATCATCCCGGTACGAGTCCAGAGCGTTCGGACGACGCGAACCTACGACGTTCCGGGGCTCCTGGGCATCGCTACGAACGGCAGTTCCGGTCCGTTGGGTCGACCATCCGACATGGAACCCATCGAGACAGGTGGGACTCTGGGACCACGGTCGGATCTGGATGTCTCCAACAACCCGGTGCGAGGGAGCTATTGCGGTTTCCCAGTAGAGTTCGTGACTGGGATCTTAAGTCACTCAAGGTTTAAAACCGCTTATTCACGCTACATCACCCCCCATAGAATCTCACTCTCACACCATACTGGCCTGCAGAAAAACGGAGCTCAAACAAGAATGCAGGTCGGAAGAATCTCCACTGCACCCAAAATTTTGGACCGCAACATTCCCGATGACAAGAATATTTGGACGATGAGTGACGAGTGCATCTGTTAATACTTGGCCCACGTCCAGCGCCTCAGAGTCCTTTGATGTCCTTTGGACACCAACCCAGCCCCAAAGCTTGTGATAGATCAATCGATAGCAACCACATTGGACCGCCTTTGCCTTCTGGGGTGCTGGTCGAAATCCTGTCCACCGAAATCGGCCATGTGACGATCTCCCAATAGGATTCGCCCACGTCCAGCCACTTGTGGTCTTCGAAGTCCTGCGGACGCGACAGGCTTCGGAAAAAGAATGAAAAAGACAAGGTCCGGGGTGCGGGCTATGCGGACTGAAGTCGAGGGGTGGAGGGTGGGCTGTTTACTTGCGTCCTCTAAGGGATCGTGACACCAGCGATGGGGCTTCTCTCCCGAACCTCTACTAGGCGAACCCTGATCACGTCCTCCTCTAGGATGGTGTCCCCATGAACCACCAGCTTGAGCTGCCTGGCATGAGATGGCTGTCGTCTGGCTGTCGGCTTGGCATCGCCCCACTGGCGGCTCATGTACAACCACTGACCAAAGGTTCAACAATTTTCAACCACAAAGTGAATCCAAAGTCCAATTAATCAATATATAACATTAACATGTTTCGAGCTTCCAAAGCTACTCTTCGGGGCAAACACCTTGCGATCAAAGGGGGCACTGAAACAACTGGAGAATGCGTGGGAGATCTCTCACTTCGGAACAAGGACGCACACTGACTGCACCGTGTGGTAATGGCTGGTTGTGTGGGTGTGTGTGAGGCTGGGATGGTAAGCATCACTGACATGCTGTGCCGAAGGAACAGGCAACCACACGATGCGAAAGGATCGCCATGCAGGTGCTTTCAACAACACCGGAGAGGCCTTTTGGGTTGTCCAGGATGGGCACTTCCACTGCAGGTCTCACCGGTACAAGGGGTTGAGTCCAATTGAGGGGAGCCATCTTTTTCACCATGGCAAATGGGCTGGTGAAAAAGAGGGGCAGTCTTTTTCCACCATATGCTAGCCATGCTGCCAGCCTGTGCACTGTAGTGACAGCGAACCGAACATGTGCCAACCGTCTTCTCTTCGAGCCTCATGCTGAGGTGCGCTCGAATCTGGCGCGCTTCGACGTCCTTCCTCAGCGGGACCTTGCGCGAGAGACGGAAAAACACGGTACCACACCGATGATTCTGCTGTTTTGCTTCTTGTGTTCGGTACTACGTATATGTTCAGTCTTTTCTTGTTTGGCCACTGAGTGGTTATTTTTTAAAATCAACTTGAGCGATCGTGAGTTCGAGTGGCAAACATGATGATTGTTGACGTTGTTGAAACCTTGCGAAAGTCATTAGCATTGAACACATTGAAAGCAAAGCCACCTCTCAAATCCTTTAAGCAGGACGGCTTGCGGTGAAAAATTGGCAGATTGCAAAACCCTCTTAAAACCCACCAAAAAAATCTTGCGGACCTAGGACCTAGGACCTGGTATGCACCGAAAGGATGCACGGAAAGGATGCACCCTTCAGGAGAGATGGGCCCTCCCCATTGCCTCCAAAAACACCGCTTCCCGCAGTTGACCATCATCATCCTTGTCTCGTCCTCGCCGGGAAAAAGCTCGCTCACTCGCTGAGGTGGTTTTTGCCCGTTTGGTCGACTGGTTCGAAGTTGCCGGGTCAGTGGTCGGTCGTTGGTTCACACCCAGCTCTTCTTTTTCCGTGGGAGTAGCAAGGTTCAGGCTTCCAGTCATCCAGCGTAAAACCACTCTTGAGACCCACAAATTTGCCACAACCATATCGGATTGAATGTGCCACTGGAGTCATCCAAATAGCAAAGCTACAGTACTTACTCTGCCAGTGTCCAATTGAATTCCTCGGATTTTTCGGAGGTCTTGAGTCTAGAGTCTATAGCTCATCAAAAATTCCCAACATCAGTCGCTTTGGACGCATCAATTGCATGCATGTTTACATGTCCATGGTCCATAGTCTATGCCTGTGCTAATATATCCCTACAAGTCAATCACCTCATTTTACTGGAGTTGGTCAAACAAAAACATTATTCAAGAAGGTAAAGAACCTGGTTTTACTGGGTCTTTGGACTTGTAGGGTATATATAAAAAATAAACTATGTACTACATATCTTCGTAAAACAAATACTTACCGCAAAGGCTCTTTGGGTCCGGTTTCTTGGATTATGTCTTGTGTTTTAGTTGCTTTCACTAACAAGGCCTTCTGACTCCACAAATCTCATTTGCTGATCCGCCCTTGCTGATCCGCCAACATTCACAAGAACCAAATGCTGCATCGCTGGCAAGCCCGGCCGTAAGTCCACCAGTATCTTCCAAAGTCATGAACCTCGGGCGCAAGAGCGTGAGTGCTCGATGGCCATGGCTGGCTGTGCCAGGGTACACGTGCCATCTACTCACGTCACCTGGCTCAGAACCTGCGGTTGAGGGACACATGAGGAAAACACATGAGGGGGCTAGCGGCTAGCTCCAACAAACGAAACCTTGCCCTTTTTTGCGGGGACCTGATTGGAAGGCTATAGTGTCTGCCTCTGAAAACACACACGCACACATTCTCAATAGCATCGCAACCAAATGCACTTTGTTTCACCAAGCATCTCTTCAACTGTGAAACCTCACAGCTTTGATCTACGTAGACTTTGAACTTGGGTTTCTCGGGCATCAAACAGGTGTTCAAGACATTCTTCCTGGGGTTGCTTCATCTCACTGGATACCATCTCTCACCCTGGATTCCTGGATACAGTACCACGCCTTGGAGGTGTCGGTCTTCTCCAAAAACTCGTTCCATTCGTCTTCCTGGTCGTACCTCACCGGGTCGGTCGACCGGTGCGAAACACGGTCGACGAAACCGCGTCTGCGACGTTCGTAGGTTTTGGTGACGTCCGTAGTGATGGCCTCCAACCGGATCTTGCGGCCTTTTCTGTTACGTCCTCCGACGATTTCCGGGTTCGGATTGGTTTGATGACTCATGATGACTCCAACGATGAGCGCTTCTTCGCCCACGACGGGAGAGTCGGACTGTCAGTCGCACTTCAGTGCTTCATCGTGGTGACAGGAAGCATGGACATGTTGTAATGGAACTTGACTTAACCGGGTTGAATGGTTAAACGAAACGAACTCACATGCCAACCTCAGTAGGCGATACTTGGCTGCAAAATCAACCATGTGGAAGAACAAAGAGCTCCTGCACGTGGATTTCCATGAATAACACATGATCTCCAAAAAACAAACACATATATATCATATATCCCTTGAGCTGAGTGGATAGACTGGCAGATCCAAACTGTTACGTCAATGCAGTACTAACTACTACAAACACATACAGAAACCACCGATGGCTTCAACCCTTCACACTTGCTCCTTTGGTGTTTGCTGTCTTTTGGAACTGCAGTGCCTGTCACCTTCAACTCACCACAAGTCCAGGTCTCAAACACCAACCCACCATACTCAACCCACCAGGGTGGACGGCGTCGGCCTCCGAGCCACGGCCCCGGCGCACTGAGGCCGCAGTTGTGCGCCATGCGGCGCGTACATCGAGCGCTTCAAGACCGGAGGCCTCGGTGCGTGGGGATGAAACAAACGGATGCGGGACTGCGTACAAAAATAGCAGCACAAGCTAGTAGATGGATGGGAATGGTGGATGGCTATAGGCTATAGGAGGATGCTATAGGGATCTGTAGTGCAAGAAGTGTCACCCTGCGCCGATGTTAAGAAACGCTCAACAGAATAAAAGTCAAGTAAAGCGCATCGCTGACGGATTAAAATGTGGGCACAAAACTCTAGGAGGGTTTGCATATGCCCCCGAGAAAACCCTTGTGCGGCTCCTATGCTTTTTCGGGTTGCGATTTTTGTTTTAAGGGAGTTGTTTTGGTGGAACCGGACCAAAGACCACCACTCGGTATTACAGACAGTACCCTAAGAATCCGGACCCTCAAACACATATGGTTTTGAGGGCCCGGACCCCTGCTATGGAGGGTCCGACCCCTGCCATGGAGAGCCCAAGGATTCTTAGGGGTACTATTATTTGTGTACGCAGATCGAGGCTGTAGTCATCTAATATCAATCAGGCAGTCACCTATGGTTTTCCAACGTTTGCCATGGTATCGTTCTGCGGCAGTCACCCAGTGGTTCACGAGAAAACCCTACTAACATTAGAAACATTGACAAAAGCCCGTGACACCAACTAACTTGGCCCCAAACACGACATTGGCTAGACTGACTAGCGAAACTCGTTGGGCTTCTTCAGCCCAAGACACGGCTGGGGATATCCCGTCATGGCCGTCACGCCTGGAGCGAGGCTCCGTGGGAGAGTCGGGCTCCCAGCGTCGGTCCTGGTCCACTGGAGGTACATTCCCGTTAACATGGACCCTGAGAATGGCATGCTGAGTCTCACTGGTTTCCTCTATATACAAACCGGTCGTTTTTTTCCTTTCGGGGTCCATGTTAGATCATCTCAGTCTTCACCGGGGTACTTGCTGGTACTGGTACTATCTCAGCTAGATGACTGGTCTTATTTCACTTGCTTGCAGTTCACGCTTTGTGCAATGCACCGATGTTCTTCAAAGGCAGTTTGCCGTAGCTCTGGCAACACGGGTGCTCTATGTTTAGTGAGACTTGGGGAAGTTGTCTCATCCAACAGTCGTTATTCTGGATGCCGTTGACCTCCACTGGAGATGTAGCAAAGCTGGGTCTGTCCGCCAACCAATTACCTGGATGAGATACTGTTGATGGACACAGCATTTGCACAACCTGCAGATGCATTTGTCCAGTGCACTCTCATTCGGCTCGTTGGGTGTGGTATCAATATGGTTTGTGGTAGCAGCTTGGATGTTCAGTTCCGGTCGTGGTAGTGATACTCGACAGTGATAGGCCGACATCTAGTCGCCTAGTCCTTAGCTGGGTGTGGCACTCTGACATTCCATGGACATTCCAATCGAGGGGTGCCATTTCGGGGTCCAACTGCAACGGAACCATCCCGACCATCCCTTCATCCTCCCCACGTTCCTGCCCGGTCCGAGCCGAAGGCGAAGCAAAATGGTCGGAACCGCTGTTGGTCGTGCTGTTTCCGGTGCTCTTGGTGATGTACGGCGAAAGACTGAGGGGATGGTCTCCTATGAACTTTGGCATGAGAAGCAAGCTGCGCTCCCATATTGAACTCGGACTTGGATCAAATAGAATTATATACATGATATTACGTGATAAAAAGGACCTGTGGACATAAACTAGGTACCGTTCAGTCTTTGTAAACGCATCGGTCGGTCTTAGTGAGACTACTCACTTGTCTTGGAAGACTAAGACACACTTGATTTTCTTGCATGTAGTTGTTTTCCATCCACGAGGTTTCATTTACCTTCAGCCGTGTGAATGAATCATTCTTTGTTCATGAGGCGTTTCCTTTCCTTTTGATTTCTTTCCGAGGCATCACATGCAGGGATCCAAAAGATTTCTGAAGGCTGATGATGCTGTCATCTGTCTCTGAGTCTAACTCTTGAACCAGCTGACACGGAGCGGACCTTTGCCAAAGAGGTTGGGAGGAGCACAAAAACTTCATTGACCCTCAATATCGCCTGATTTGCTTGGCTTTTTTGTTTGCAAACCTGGATCAAAACGCAACCACTTCATCAAAAGCAACACCTGCTTCTAGAAAACGCATCGAAGCAGTGCCGAGCAAAAACATGCGTTAAGAGAGAGCCAAACAAAATATTGCATATATCATGTTAATCATCGGCACAAAAAAACACTGCAGGGTGCAAAATGCACCTACGTCTCTCCTTTGACGGTGTGTTGGACTGCCAGCAACTTCTAGCAGAACCTGTGGGACAAAGGTGATGTTCAAGGAAACCTCCATCTTGCTGCGGGGGTATGACCAAATCAGCGCTGTAGAATTTGGTGAAAGCGCCAAACGCAAAAACCCGGAACGCCTCTCGGGTTCCCATCAGCCTCTTGTCACTGGTGCCCATTGGCCACTACCATCGTGACCAACTAACTAACACTATGAATGCCGTCCGAGTGAGGGTTGGTACACCAATCGAATTGTCTTGGTCGATGGATTCCAAGGCCTTTGTCTTCACATTGTGATCACGTTAAAGACTTAATCTTTGGGCAAAATGATATTTCCCCTTTTTCCCCCCTGGAATGAAGTCTCACTCCAACAGATCACCCTCCCCACCACTTCTCCCCAATCTCTCGCGCCCGCGCGGTCGCGTCCCCCGGTCCCCGCCTCTGGACGGTCGGGCGGCTGTAGGATCCTCTGTAGCAAGCTGGGCGATGGCAGGGGCGGCTCCTCTGGTATGACCTCGCACGGGTGGAGGTCGGGTCGATCCTTCTGTGCGAGCAGAGGTCGTCTGGGACAGATTTTGGTGGATGAAATCGGAGCTGTTTCTGCGTGTCTGTATCAAAGGAAGCAAATCACTCGCCTGATCACATGGGGGTGAAATCGCTGAGGAGGCTCAATCAAATGTCTTTGCTAATTTAGTCTCGAACAAAGTAAAGCAACCTGGCGTCTGGGATTTGGTCCCTTTCCTTGATCAAACAGGAGGGTTTTAGGCCTTCATGAGGGCCTTCATGTTGATTAGTGAGTGATCTCTGGTCTGTGCACAAGACTTGCGTCTTGATAACTGATTGGTTTTCGGGAGCCAGTGGTGAAGATAGACGTCCAATCCAACTGAACCCATACGTCGTTTTCCGATGCAGAAGCATCGTCAGGGCCAAGGTGCTGGGAAGGGTAAGATCTCTCTGAACAAATCCTGGTACTCCTCAAAGGGCAATGGAGCAAAGGGCATCGCCTCAAGGCACCGCGAACGAGGTGTGGACACAGGAGAAGCATCTAACAAGGCGTGGAGACGGCAGGATAGAAAAGAAACCTATATATGAGTCTATATGAGCAACATGCCTGGCGATTGCTGTTGGGCTCCCAAATGTGGGCGCGGGGCTGGGTCCCAGGACGTCGAACTTCCGAGTCCGAAACGGATGTGTCGTCTCTCGACGTCGCGCTGGATGGGATGGCCCGAATGAGGGAGTTGACTCTAGCACAGCGTAACCGAAGCATAGAGGCATAGAGGTTCCCTGTGAAAAGTCATCTGTGTGAATATGTGATGTGTGAATCTCTGATGGTAGATGATGGTACTTGCCCGGTGGTTGGCTAGCTTTGACTAGGTTATAAGCACCCCTAACTTGCTTATAACCTTGGTTATAAGTTTGCTAACCTCTATAAGGTTTAGCTTCAACTTAGCCTTCACTTGGCTACGCACTTGGCTACGCCTATAGTACTTATAAGTACTTAGGTATGACTTAGCTAAGTCACAGCCTAAGTCAGCTAAGTCTAAGGTGGACATAGCTTTGATGTATAGGTGACTTATTAAGTCAAAGCTAAGTCCAAGCTAAGTGTCCCCCCTGACAGCTTGACATAAAGTGGTTGTCTGCATTCTTTGCAGCTCCACGTGGTTGCCTGCATTCTTTGCAGCTCCACTGCGGAACAGTTGCGGTTTAATTCGAGCTTTGAGATCCCGAGTCAAGACTGGCACCCTGACTACAAACAAAATATGTCAGAAGTATTATGAACTTTCAAATATATTATTCTGACTAATTTAACTAGTACAAGTACATACTAAAAAACAATATGTCAATTTTTATAATATATTGAACTAGCAACAGCAAATCAAACACATAATTTGTCATCTGTTTTACGACAGATTTTACTCTTAAGGTAAATCAAAAACATAATCTGTCGTTGTTGTTTTTATCACACGTGTTATTAGCAAAAGTACATGAAACGAATAATCTGTCATAATTTCTATGAAAACTTCTATTAGTAAAAGCAAAGGTCATAGATAAGTTGTCATAATTTTATGACATAATTTTAATGACAACTTCAACTTCTATTAGTAAAACTAAATGAGAAGAATACTTGTCCTTTATTTATGCCCACTTCTATTAGTAAAAGTAAATAGCATAAACAAGTGAACTTCTGGCTTGCGCTTGAAACGAGAGAATAGAAATTGTGTGGTTCTATATCATTATAAGGACTTAGCCATACTTAGCCAGTGTTATAAGTCAAAGCTAAGTCCAAGCTAAGTCTAATCGAAGTCAAGGCTAAGTCCAAGCTAAGTCCATGATAAGTCCACCTAAGCTAAGTCCAAGCTAAGTACTTATAAGTCCACCTAAGCTAAGGGAAGTAGTTCTTCTTCCTGCACCTCCAACGCCTCCAACGAAGGTAGTTAGACCCCACCAAATCCACCCATTCCGCCAAATACACCGAAACAAAGGTAGGCCAGGAGCCCGGTCAGGTCTTTAAGTCTCGCAGGTTCTGGGCCGGGCAGTCGTCTGCTCTGCTTCTTCGTTGGTCTTTTCGGCTTCTGGGAGCGACGCCCCCCGCTTCCGCGCGCCTGGATGTCGGTGGGTGGCTCCCAGTCCTGGCTGAAAGCGCCCGGACTCCCAAAGGGCGAACTTCTCAGACACATCGAGGGCGTTACAAGTTACACGTCGATTGAGGGCCCGGACCCGAACCAACACATAGGGTTTGGTTCGGGCCCGGACCCCTGCGTTTCGGTGTCGGGTCCGACGGACCTGCCATGGAGAGCCCAAGGATTCTTAGGGTATTGTATATAACTTATATGGACATCTGTAGATGATATGACTGTTTTTTTGACCCTGGAAGCCAGGAAACATGGTAAATGGTTCCTCTCAGCTAATGCAACAAAAACTATATGCCTATTTACAGGATACCACTGATACGTGGAACCTAGTCTTCTCTTTGGAGCCACAAACTCCCTTGTAGGAGTTGCAACTGAATCCATGTCCTCCAAAGCAAAGTGGCTGCGCCATTTTGGATTCTGAAGATCATTCCACGCGATCCACTCCGACCAAGCTTCGCGAGTCGCCCCATATTCCAGCTAAGATCATCCCCCCTCTATGGTGTCAAGCCCCATTTCTTCCAACCTAAAACTGCTTCGGGATACTTCGGGGCCGATCCCACTTCTGCGATTGATCGCCTGGAATGTTTCAACCGTCCCCGCTTTGTTCTTCTCGGGTCTCGGATCTCTCTCTCGCCTGGCCGTTGTTGGTCTCTCCCCTTTCGACCGTCCTCCATCAGGGGCTCGAAATCGCTGGCTGTGAGGTCGATCACTTCCGGAGCGGGGCCTTGCTCCGTCGTCCAGCGCGACCGGGTCGCTTGGAGGTGAAGTTGTTGACAGTCGCTTGGGCCCTTCGCCCCATGGAGGAAGATGCAGAAATGATCAGTCGACATCAGTCGAAGCACTTGCAAAGTTCATTGATGTT